CTAGTCTTGCAGACCACGGAAACTGTCTTCAGACAAATGCTGGCTCTATGGCTTGGAAATGGGGATGAGCATAGACCCCTAGAGTCGGACACGACTGGACTAAATGTCAAGGGGAACCTTTACCATGGGCAACCACCTGCACATGACTTGCTGTGTGGGGTTGCAGCCGTGTTAAAGCAATTTGACAGAATTATTCAAGTTATTGTACACTATTTTGTTTTGTTTTGTTTTTTTTGCAGCGGGGGAAGAGATAAATCAATGCTGGTAAAGACAAGGAATTGGAACATTCTTCTCATCAGCAAGGTCACCGAGATTTCCTATTCATTTCAATACATTTTTGTTGCAATAGGAATGTGTGATACAAAAAGCCTGAAGTGTGGGCTTTTTTTTGTTTTGCACAAAACAGCCCAATTTATGGGATTTTACAAATTACCCACAGCTAGGATGACTGCTGCTTTACTGATGTACTTGAAGCACTAGATGTGCTGCTCCCATCTTTCTTAACAGTAACCAAATGCTGTGTGCATGTGTTTTTCTTTTCCAAGCGAATGGACAATAGAGACACTTTAGACAATTTTTTGTGTTGCTTTCTGCTAAATGTGAGGTGCTTTACAATTCCTAGGCCAAGTTTTTCATGGTGTTCAGACAGCTTAAATTTCTGGTAAGTAGTAATTTAGCAAGTATTCTTTCCATTTTTAAATTTGGGGAGGGGGTATCTGACTAAGACACTGAACAAATGACCAAGAATCAGTTGGGGGGTATTTGGAGAGCACATACCCTGACACCTAATTGAGAAGAGATTTGGGCTGATAATTTGCTTTTGAGGTTGCACACTATAGTAGGTAGACGAGTGTTCAGTTAGCAAGGCTGTTCAGTAATGGCCACATATCTGACTAGCTCACATTCTTACTGCTCCAGTGAAAGCACTGAATGCAGTGACGATTTGTGTGTATGTTGTTGACATGCTTTTTGCAACCAGGTGCTGACAACTTCAGATGAAAACTGCTGCTCGCACCGCTAGCAAGAGCTGATATCTTTTCTTCTCCCTCTCCTATTTGCTGAGTGTGCAGTGATCCTGATGTCTATGTGGCTAATAAATCAATAATCAGTCCTGAATAACTGATGCTAAGTGGGACATGAAGCACATATAGGAGGAAGAGAAGACACTTAGGGCTATTTTAAACTTATATGCTAGAAAAGGACACACAGGGCAAGCAACAGCAAAGTGTGCTCTCTTGCTCATGCACAGCCAAAAAGAGTTTTCTTTTTCATTAGTTTGGAATATCTCCCACCATCATCAATAACCTTCTCAAAAATGTAGGAAATCTATTTAACTGACTAGTACAGCAAAAGGAGTTCAAAAGCAACATTGAGCGTGTGATCAGATGGACATGCATCCCGGTTTTGTCCAGGCTCATTTGCTGTTTTTTCCAGCAACCACATGGTGTATGCGCCATCACAAACCAGCAAACTCCAATGCCTACCCACATTCTTAGGGTCTGTGTCAGGGGCTACTGTGTGTTTGTGTGCACATGAGTAGGATTGTTTCATTTTGGTTCAGTTCCAGTGTGTGTGGCTGCCTGGCTGGCCCTTTGCTGAAGCTATTTAATGATATTGAAAAACGGGAAGTTCTCTGGTTGCTTGCTGATGAGCCATGTAAATTAGCAATAATTAAAGAAGTGGAAGACTTGGGTTCCCTTTCCCTCCAAAGGCAAGCAGAAAGGAAGCTTCCCATTTCTCAAAATTATTAAACAGCTTAGGTGAAGCACAGGAGTAGACGGGAGGGTTTGTTTTACCTTTAAAGGGAAATACTTGTCTAGATACTAAGGCTCACCTGAGGTGTACTGTGGTCGATCCTAGCATGTGGATAGAAGGATCACCCCAAATGAAATAACTTGACTCAAAGCAATTGTTTAGCACTCTTCTAGAGGGATACAGGCGGGGATTATTAAGCCATCTAGTCATACCTGGGCTTTATTCTACTCAAACCTGCAATTTAGTTATGATTATACACTTGGGCACCTTTGATTTTCAAACCAACTTTCTAATCCTTAGAACTGTCAAAAATTTGTAGGCTAAGCTTGCCATATCCTTGGCATATAGTGGTATGCCGTGATGTAAGGTAATGTTGTTTAAAGTATGTCAGAACTAGAAAATGCGGAATTATAGCTGCTCTAAATAGGTGCACTGGTCTAGAATCACCTTTCTCAGGAACAGAAGGAAAAGGGCATGCTCTGGTTCCATAGCCAAGTGCTCCTATTCATGCATCTGCTGCTATAGCATCTCCCCCTCCCATAAACGCATAAAGACTGTGGGGTAAGGATTTTTTAATCTTCAAGCCTGGCTCACTGCTAGGAATATCCTCGCAGAAACAACTGCCAGCTAACAGAAACCTCTAAAATCCTCTAAAACATGACCTTCGCCTTAAAACCAGCACTATGGTAGCAGCTGTTCAGAATGAAGGAAGTTAAGAATGAGCAGACCAACACTGCAATGTGCCAACCTTCAACTTCTCCAGGGTTCTGTTTTGATCACGACTCCAGATTGTGCAAAGTGAGTGTACTGGTAAGAGGAATGCTTACACACAAAAGGTGGTATTACTAAAGTCAGCCCTCTGGTATCACAATGTCATCATAAATAGATTCCTGTCTTTTTCAAGACTATTTTCAACACCTGCAGTTCAGCAGTGACATACTGAAGACATGGAAAGTAGGTGCAATGTAGAAGGTTTATTTCTCTTTTCTGGGTGCTGGAATATAAGAACGTAAGAGCCCTGCTGTATCAGGCCAAGGGCCCATCTAGTCCAGCTTCCTGTATCTCACGGTGGCCCCACCAGATGCCTCTGGGAGCACACAAGACAACTAGATACCTGTCTCCTGATTCCCCTGTATCTGGCATTTTGAGGCACCTTCCTTTTAAGCCTGGAGATTATGCATCTCCATCATGGCTTGTAACCTGCTGGCTGTCAGTCTCAGTAAGTGTCCAGTGCAGAAAGCTCTGCATAGCCATGGACAGACAACACAGCCTTTCTGCAGATAGTTCATTCACACTTCCGGCCAGAGCAATCTATCTCTCTTTAGGCAGTAGGCTGGGGAGGAAAAAGAAGAGGATGACAGAGAAACAAAGATTTCAGCCCCACCACCAACAGCACGCTCTTGACAGGAAAAGTCCACCTCCTCTACTGCAGTGCACAGAGCTGATCCAGAAGTATAATTTCTGTAAAGAGTATGCATCATGTTACAGTTCTTCTCTTGTTACCAGACTGCAGCTATTAAGCTGTACCCCTCTTCAAAGGCAGGCTCAAGGACTTCAGGAAAGCCAGTCACATATAGTCAGTCAGTCATTAAGCTGGGGTAAAGATGTTCTGAGGCACAGTAGAAATTATTTACTTTTTTCTGGGACACTTGTTTTCCAAGGACAGATCATGTGGTTAAGCAACTGTCAGCGTGTTAAAACATACCATAGAGGACACCTTCAGTAAATCAGGTGAACCTAACATGTTGAATCACTTTGCTGTGGTGCCTTTTATATAACAGAAGAATATGAAAACAAACACACCTTTGAGAACAAAACACTTTTAATGACACTTAAGGCTAGGTTTGGGTTATCTTATACCCCCAACATTTTTTTAAAAAAATTCATACCTGATATCTAATTGTTGGAAGGGACTGGTTTTCCTTCGTTCGACTAGTACTGAGCACCTGGCTTTGCTATCTTACTGGAGGAAAAACTTGTAATTACAGCAAGTAGAATTGGTACAGTCACAGTAATACAGAGGAGCTGCCACATGAAGAGCAGGAATTGGAGCTGTGCATGCAGTAGCCGTAGGCACAGTGGCTGCAAAAGGAAAAAGAGGAAGGTGGAGCAGGAACAAGGAAACAGGCTCCGGTGTCTCCAGAGGCCAGCTCCACCCCTGGGAAGTACACAAGTTTTGCAACAAGCACGTCAATGAAGTCAGCCGCAGCACAGGCAACAAGCATAGGAAACTGCTCAGGGAAAAGGCCAAGCTTACAACAAACAGGAGAACTCACAAGTGACCATTTTTTGCCCATTAAGCAACCCACTCTTCCTTCCCACCACTCTGTAAGACACAATGGTTTGGAGAGGAAAAAAAGGACAGGACAACTCTCCATAAAGCCCATAAGGTAAAGTGAAGGGCTGTATTAATAAACCCTCATCAGGTAATAATCAAAGTTGGGCTCAGTGACATGGATAAAGGGTTGCAGAATCAAAGATCCTTCACTCTGTCAACAACAACTTGCTGTATGGTTGTTTATATATTTACACATACATATACGTTCTCCCAGCACCACAAGAAAAAAAAGTGATACACATAAAAAATGCCACCCTCTTCCCCCCCCCCTTGGATTTCTGAGAACACAATCCAGGCCTGAAGGGACCTTTCATCAGACAGACCTGTTTTTCTCTGTAAGGAAATCCTACTAGGTTATTCTAAAGTTAAGGGGAGAGTAACAATGGCCAAGACTCGGAAAGAATTGATCATGTTCCCTGTTTACACCAGGGTGAACCTGCAAGGAACAGAGGGAGGCAGACCAAAGCTCCAGGAACAACAATTTGAGGTTATAGCATGGGACTCTGTGACAAGAGTGAGGTGGGTCTTTTACCCACCCTCAGAAAAATATTCAGACTACAGATGGGGGGGGGGGGGGCGGANTTCCACTACAGACTGATGAACAAAAGTGGGTGGACTGCCTTAGCATCACCTTCCAGCGAGGCTTGATCAACCGATAACTAGCCTTTTTTTTTTAAAGTGAGAGACAGCCGTGGAACCATTCAACATAGAAATTATGTATTTGCTTCCTTTCTGAGCCAAAATCTGTTGATCTAACCGGTCGTTGCCACCATGCAACAGACTTGGAGGAACAGTCTGCACCCCTGCTTTATGTAGGCCTTCCTTCCCTTCTGCCAATGCCTGCTCCAGAAGGACAGGCAGTGTCCCTCAATCCTCTGGAACAGGGACAGAGATGCAAAAACCAGTGTCAAGACCATCATATAATAATTTACTGCAATTCAATCTTGGCTTTCTACAAATTTCTAGAAGGGAGAGAAGGCAAAAAAGGAGTTAAATTTTTAAAAAAACAACACAGTTCATTGCAGGCCATGGTGACGTTTGCAGACAATCCATGCGGAGCTCGTGGGGGCCTACCGACACCACCTTCTCTGTCCTCTCCCCATGAATCCATTTGATTCTTCTTTCCCATCACCTCCATCTCCGCACCAAGCACAGTGGAACCCCTCCAAGTCACAGTCTGGTCAGCTGAGAACAGAAGAAGCAGAAGATCCAAGAAGTCATTAAAAAGCAGTTTTTCAATACAGAAGAGATTTGAGAGACCTTCCAAGGAACTGACATTCAACTCTCTAGAAAAAGGTCACCAGTGCTGTTCACTTGTTAAAGGACAAGGTCTTTCACAGATTAGATTGTGCTGCACTGATGCCACCTGGGGCACGACCAGGGCGGGGGGGGGGGGTTGGAGTGGCCTGGTTCACGTTTTTAAAAATTCTTATCTTTGGTCAGATCTATTTTATCTCATACTTGAATGATCCTTTCTTTTCCCATGAGAAGAATCCAGACAGCTCTTCTGATCACTCTAATCTGTCCCGCTTTTGATTACTAATGCCCTCATCTCTGCCCCCACCTTTTTTTTACAGCCATCATTCCATGGGCTGCAGCAACTCCCTCTTTTTTGTTATATAAAGTAAGTAACATAGCACTACAGCAATGCAGCAACCTAGCACATTACACATATTGTACTGAAAGATACCGCCAATGTATTAGACTTGTGCTGCATCACTTAGGGAAATATTTTGAAAAGCTAACAAGGAAAACAGAGGAGGCAGTTTCTCTGTCCTCCCCTTTAATGTCACAACCCACCTAACACATCACAGTGTTGTCACTTCAGGTAACACTGCCCACAGCTCTATTTGGATGCAAATTAATTAGGAGCCCTCACAATTGCATCAAATAAACTGCAGTCCTAGTGCTGTGCCAGAAAGGAGCAGGACAGCTTGTAAAAGGGGCAGGATGGATCGCCAGAAAATAAGAGTGAACCAACCTGCACCAAAAGCAAACCAAGTAACAAGCTATTTATCTGCCTAATCACCCTCTTAGTAAAACACACAAATGAATTTTGGTCTGCTGTTTTACTTTACAAAGGAAAAGGAAAAAGGTTCCCCTTGACAATTTTGCCAAGTCGTGTCCAACTCTAGGCGGCGGTGCTCATCTCCATTTCCAACCCACAGAGTCAGCGTTTTGTCCGCAGACAATCCTCTGTGGTCACGCGGCCAGCGAGACTAGACACAGAACGCCGTTTACCTTCCCACCGAGGTGGTACCTATTTATCTACTTGCGTTTTTGCATGCTTTTGAACCGCTAGGTTGGCAGGAGCTGGGACAAGTGATGGGGGCTCACTCCGTCATGTGGATTTGATCTTACGACTACAGGTCTTCTGACCTTGCAGCACAGAGGCTTCTGCGGTTTAACCCGCAGCTCGATAATTGACTGGTTTGTTTTTGGTTTTCAATTTATTTTTTATTTTTAAAAACTAGGGATAAGGTAAGGAGTACAAAAAGTAGAGGAGGGTATGGGGGGAAAGGGGGAAGGAGAACACAAAATGTACGGTCATTCAATCTGTTTGTTCATGTTGCGATATCAAGTCAACTTTTCACCTTTCTACAATTAGATTGCCTTCCAGGTTTCAACTTACAGTTACATCTTAGTTTAATTCTATGTTATTCAAGCACTATCTGGTGACTCAATCCATTTATATAATAAATCCCATCATTCAGTTGCCTTTTGTATTGGACAGGTTTATTTGTAAGGGTGCAGACGGGTCCCTGTGGCACACAGGTATTAGTCATGTACCACCTATGCATAAGTCTAGCTGTTCTGCAGCAAATGGATAATGCTTAGAATAAGAGCATTTTGCTTCCTTTCCAGTTGCTCATACATTAATTGAGAACTATTAATTAATGGATGTAAGCTTCTTAATGCCAGGTTGGGGCATATTGAACATTCAATAGCTTTTTGAAACTAGCCCTTTTTCTGCCTCCCTGTGAAATTCAGAGAATCCTGTAATAATCCTATGTAATACTGAGGTCAGTGGAAGAAAGATCTATAAATACATTGACTATCTAACTTGGTAGCCTTTTTCCCCATAGCAGTGGCTTTCTTTTGAGAGTTCCACTCTCAGACTTCTGTTTAAAAAAGGCCCAATTTGTACTTTCATGTATCATTTGCAATTCATTGATTTACAAAATGAACTGCCCCTATTGAAATATGATTATGATTTCTGCAGAAGGTGGGACAGTTACTTTATTGGACTACAACTCTCCAGAATGCAAGAGCCAACTCAGCCACTGGTGCTGCTTTTAAGAGACAGGGGATGCTGGCAAGAGCAAGATGCAAGCACATGTAAGGGATGGATGTCATTATGGGAATCCTGCTGCTGCCAACAAGCAGCAGCAGCAAAGTCACATAAAACAACAGATCTGCCTCAGCTTCTGACTCCTCAACCAGGGGTTGTTTCTTTTCTTTTTCAGTCCTGCCCACTGGCAGGACTGTTCCAAGTAAAAGTACAGCCAAATCATAGGTGTCTCACAGCAGGTGGTAGGTGTATTACCTGCACAATGTCACATCTTATAAATATATCTGACTGTCTATCCTAAAAGATTAACAGAAATTGTAAGAACCAAAACAAAACAAAATATTGTGTGGAAACAACTAATTTCTCTTGTTTGAATAAATGAACTGAATATATCTTCAAACAATTGCCCCCACAGGTTCAATTATGATTTTGTAATCCGCCCCGAGCAGACACTGTCGGGGGGCGGGGGCGGGGTATAAATAGAATTAATAAATAAAATAAAATAAATTAGGCCCACTGAGACTTAGCTTTTACTAGTGCCTGGTCATAAACAGCTGGTGGAATCTTCTCTTAAGTCTGTCATATAAACTGTATCTATCAGATCCTTTATCTCTAGATAATAAAAGTAACTATAAAAAGGATATCCCCAAATTCGATTTCAAAGAGAATACCAGAGTGGAGGGATTAAAAAAAAAATAAGACTGGCATGAGGAATAAAAAGAGGCTGGGCACTGGGGTGGAAAAGTGGAACTAGTTGGTCTTGAACTAGGCAAAGCCAGGTACATTCACTGCATTCAGTAAAAAGGTGAAAGAATTATTTGGGTTTTATTCTTTAACCTTTTTTTAGCACTTACAACAAAATTATGTCTCTATGGCCAGAAACTTGTTGCGATTTTACCTCAGAATCATTGAAACTAAATTACAACAGCAAATTGCAGCTATGTAATTATCAAAGTTCTAGGTGAGTGACTGGCACATGATAGGCACTTTGTTAATTTATGTGATTTAACTTACTCTGGAGTAAAACTGTTGTAAAGATTCTGGCCAATGAAATCTTATTCTGGGGATGAAAAATGGCTGCAGTGCCATTTGCTGGCAAATCAATCTATTAGTGCAATATAGTGGTGCCTTGACTTATGAACTTAATCCGTATTACAACGGTGGCTGTAAATCAAAATGTTTGTAAGTGAAAGCACCATTTCCCATAGGAATGCATTGAAAACTGATTAATCCGCTCCAGCCGAAGAAAAAAATATCAAAAACACTGCAAGTCCCAAGCTAGGACTGCAAAAAATCAAAAACAAAAAACAAACAAATCCAAAAATAAACATTGGAGCAAGTCCCACGCTGGGACTGAAAACCCTCCCCCCCAAAAAAACAACAACACAGAAATGTAACCCGCCCAGCCCAAACCTACCCTCCAAAAACCACCCAGAACAACTTTGTTAAAAGGAAAAAGCAGCACCTTACCTCCACCGCCGCTACCCGGCCAGGGCTCCAGCTGCCTCTGCAGAGGCTTCTAGGGCAGTGGTAGGAGAACAGGGATAATTTACCTCAAATTGGGTAAAAATGAAAATCCGGGGGGGGCGGTAATGCACCAAGGCACTTCCTGGCTGCCCTGCTCTCATGCATTACACGCTCTTCTCTCCCCAGCCTGGTTGGCAGTGGCTGCACAGCTGCTAGCCCAATGCTCATCTCACCTCGCCCCCCCTTTTTAGGAGCCGAGGCCAGCTTGGGATGCAAGTTGGTGGGAAGCAAACTAAAGACAGATGCACACCGCAGGCAGGCACTGGCCTCCTCCCTCGCCCTCCCGCCTTCAGCGGCGCTTACTCACGAGTAGACCCACACCAGAGATGGGCCGGGAGCACACCGGCTTCCCGTGCCCGGTGGCAATCTGGAGATGCCCCCGCCTCCCTTTCCTCCTCCTGCTCAGCAGAAGTAAAAACGTTCCCTGACCCCCTGCTCTAACTGTTGGGGTGAAAAAGCTACAAAGAAACAGCTTCTTTGCCACCAACTGTTTGAATTTCCCACCTTTTCCCCCTGCCTTTTTCCATTTGTAAGTCAAAGCTCCGGCCGCAATTCAAAGCAAAATTTTGCAGCTGGAGCTGTTCATAAGTCAAGTTGTTCATAGGTCAGGGCATTCGTAAGTCAAGGCACTACTGTGCTTTGATTCACCCTACCCTGCTGAGCCTACACTGAGAGCCAGTGTTGTCCCGTAAGTAAGCGTGTTGGGTTAGGACTCAAGAGACCTGGGTTCCACTCCCCACTGAGTCATGGAAACGCATTGGGAGAAGCAACACTGGTTGGTAAAACCACTTCTTAAACACCTCACACAGCTTGGAAGCCCTCCTAGGATTGCTAAGGGTTGGAATATACTTGATGGCACATCACATACTGAGGTTATAGTGTTCTTTACTCATAAGTCTTGTCTTAGCTATGAGATTGCAATGTAGGCAATCTGTGTCTGATTACGACACAATATGCAGCCCAATCGGCGATGCTTTCAGGGGCCAACTTTGCAATTAAACAGAGCACCAGCATTTTATGAGTTTAATGCAGGGGGCAGCCATCAGCTCTGGTCAGTTATCTCCATCCCCCTTGACCTTCATAGGTGTTTGGCAACTGACAATGGCCCTACGTTCGTCTGTCGGGCTATAAAATGCATGTTTATGTTTAAGAAACAAGATCTCAAAGAAATCTCATGCACTGAATGCTTAAGATCCATCACAACACAAGGCAGACTGATTTGCAAATACAGGGAGGTGAGAGAAGCTTCTGCTATGGCACTAAAAGTCAACTTTTTACAATTTTCCTCTACCAGTAATAGGCTACCTATAACCTCCATTTCTGACCTTTCGATGCCGTGAGTGGCCTCCTACAGGCCTCGAACAAAAGCCCAGTATGATCTCATCTGTTTTGCACTGGGCAGTACAGAAACAAGCCCAGATGGACCTGGCTTCTCCCTCATATTCCCAAAGAACTGTGCCCTTGAAGGTTACGTCTAGGAGGCAAGACTCCCAACTTTACCTGTGTTTGGGGTATGTGTAGGAGAACGCCAAGAGGAGCAGACTCTGAGGTGGGTCCTTATGAGGAGGTTATGACTCTTTGTGCTAGATGGAAAATCCTTCTGGGTTTCAGGCCGTATGTAGACTGAAAAGGGAAATGGGTTGTTTCCACTGTCAAAACACCTCCTACCCAGCAGGAGGGGCAGAGCAAGGAATGGCTGACATGCCTGCCTCAAGCTATTCTAGCATAACCAAATACAATTTCCACTTCTACTATGGAGCAGTGTGAAGCCTAAGACTCTGGCTGACAGATGCAATGAGAAATGACAGTATGAACTGTCTATGAACTGAGTGAAACTTCTGGATAGTCACTCTGCCATTCAGGCCCAGGAATAAAATCCTGTTAAATGTTTTCTATGAAAAGATGTGGACAACTACTCCTATGAAGAGCCCCAACAGTTCCCTCCTCCCCATTCATATAAGCACCACACGCTTTGTGTGGCCTCGCTGCCTGCCTGCTGTGTCTTTCTCCAAGCCCTATGGGAACAGCCTGCTAGATGTCGCCCAGCATAGAGCTAGATCCCATCTGTTCTGCAGATCCTGAAGGGAAAACAGATTCCCATTTCCTCCTTCACAAAACAAATGCATATTTTAAAAAAAAAAGTTGCTGGGACCACACCTAGAAGCATACTGCCAAGTTATGCTCTTCTCACTGTTTAGCTTTCTAGTAAGAGAAGAGTCCAAGACAGCCAGAGCTCTCTCTCGCTCTCTCTCTCTCTCTCTCTCTCTCATGCACACACATACAGAGAGAATGTGTGTGTGTGTGTGTGTGTGTGTGTGTGTGTGCGCGCATGTGGTGCAGAAAGGAACACACACTTGGCAAATGCTGTGCTTTCTCCACAGCCCTTGGCAGTGACATTCCTCTTAAGGCAGGCAGCTTTAAAGGAGCATTTGGGATTCATCTGTGCATTTTCAACAGCGGATGAACAGGAAACATTCCCCACCCTCCACCCAGGCTCACATCCCTAGCCAGAGGAAATACAGACATCTGGATTATTTGCACATCTGGAAACTGCCCCCCCCCCAACAACAATAGCTGCCCTAGGTGCAACTCAAGAATTAGGCCTGCTGGGAGATCGTAGACAACTTCCATGACATCCATTCACTCCTCCATTGTAATTTTTTTTTGGGTGGGGTGCAGTTCATTATTTTCTTTTTTCTTTTTAACTACTCTTTCTCTAAGGAGAGGAAGAAGAGCTCTGGCTCTATTGAGCAACTGCTGGCCTCTCTCCCCAGAATGTTTAGACCATACAGAATACATTACATGGCCAAACTGCCACAATTCATACCATACAGCAAGAGAGAAGTGGACTACAATTCACAAAAGCTCGCAGTGGATGTATCACACAGCCACGGTTTCTACTTAAAATAGATTTATTTTTCTCAGAGGTGCCACAATACTTTTGCTTTTGTTTTGTTCTTGCAGAAACAGACTAATGCAGCTACTACTCTGAAATTCTGTAAAAACAGAGAGGAAGTTCATACCCCCTGCGAGTCCTCTTTTCCCGGCTTCATTCCTGGTCACTGGAAAGGAGGGTTCAGATATCGAGATGCAGAGGTGAGGTCAATTACAGTGTGTTCCCTATTATACCTCTATACGTATATCTGAAGATTTTGGGTAACTTGCAGGATAATCCTCTACAGAACTACTCAAAAACTCTCAAGGCAAATTCATTGAAAACTGCAGGGTTTGGAGGGAATGCAGAGTTTTACTCTACTAACTGGATCCAGGATAGTCTTTTGCTGACAGAAGTACATCAACTCAATTGTTGGGGATTCTATCCTGTGCTTTATATCCTGGGATATAAAGAAAACTACATAAGCTTCATTCAGTCCAGCAAAACCTTATCACAGGACCTGTCATGCAACCAGTGTGACACTGGGAACATTACCGGGAACAGGCAGGACCATGGGAAACACTTTTGTGGTCACATTTCCCTGACTGCATTTGCAGCAGACATTGGTGTCTGACTCTGAACAGTGAAATTTCTCAACTTACCCAAAATGCCAAATAAAACCCAGCAAGATTATTTTACGGCTATTATCTCAGAATTGAAATACAATACAGTTAATGCTGCATCAAAATATGAACTTCAAATACTTAATTTTTGAATGTTGCATGTGATATTTGAAATGGCCAGAATTATAGCCTGCTACCACTCATCATTTAAGGTGCTACACTCAATATGCCAGTAAGTTTGGAAAACTCAGCAGTGGCCAGAGGATTGGAAAAGATCAGTCTACATCCCAATCCCAAAGAAGGGCAGTGCCAAAGAATGTTCCAACTACCGTACAGTTGCACTCATTTCACACGCTAGCAAGGTTATGCTCAAAATCCTCCAAGGTAGGCTTCAGCAGTATGTGGACCGAGAATTCCCAGAAGTACAAGCGGGATTTCAAAGGGTCAAAGGAACTAGAGACCAAATTGCTAACATGCACTGGATTATGGAGAAAGCCAGAAAGTTCCAGAAAATCTTCTGCTTCTGTTTCATTGACTCCACAAAAGCCTTTAACTATGTAGACCACAACAAACTATGGCTAGTTCTTAAAGAAATGGGAGTGCCTGACCACCTTATCTGTCTCCTGAGAAATGTATATGCGGGACAGGAAACAACAGTTAGAACTGGTCATGGAACAACTGATTGGTTCAAAATCGGGAAAGGAGTACGACAAGGCTGTATATTGTCTTCCTGCTTATTTAACTTATATGCAGAATACATCATGCGAAAGGCTGGAGTGGATGAATGCCAAGCCAGAATTAAGATTACCAGGAGAAATATCAACAACCTCCGATATGCAGATGATACCACTCTGATGGCAGAAAGTGAGGAGGACTTAAAGAACCTCTTAACGAGGGTGAAAGCGGAGAAGGCAAAAAATGGTGAAGCTCAACATCAAAAAAACTAAGATCATGGCCACTGGCCCCATTACCTCCTGGCAAATAGAAGGGGAAGATATGGAAGTAGTGACAGATTTTACTTTCTTGGGCTCCATGATCACTGCAGATGGTGACAACAGCCACGAAATTAAAAGACACCTGCTTCTTGGGAGGAAAGTGATGGCAAACCTAGACAGCATCTTAAAAAGCAGAGACATCACCTTGCCAACAAAGATCTGCATACTCAAAGCTATGGTTTTTCCAGTAGCGATGTATGGAAGCAAGAGCTGGACCATAAAGAAGGCTGACTGCCAAAGAATTGATGCTTTTGAATTTTGGTGCTGGAGGAGACTCTTGAGAGTCCCCTGGACTGCAAGGAGAACAAACCTATCCATTCTGAAGGAAATCAACCCTGAGTGCTCACTGGAAGGACAGATCCTGAAGCTGAGGCTCCAGTACTTTGGCCATTTCATGAGAAGAGAAGACTCCCTGGAAAAGACCCTGATGTTGGGAAAGTGTGAAGGCAAGAGAAGAAGGGGACAACAGAGGACGAGATGGTTGGACAGTGTCACCGAAGCTACCAACATGAATTTGACTAAACTCCGGGAGGCAGTGGAAGACAGAAGAGCCTGGCATGCTCTGGTCCATGGGGTCACGAAGAGTTGGACATGACTTAATGACTAAACAACAACAACCATTCATCTCCACTAGGAGAAATGAAGCCTCTTCCATCCTATAGTGACATGTCTCCTGCAGCTCCCTAGGTGTGGAGTGTGCTGCAATAAATAGAAGGAAGAAAGGAAAGACAGCAATGCAGACAACACGGGTCAGACTACAGGAAGTATCATTTAGTCTTTAGTGCAGTAGTGGGGTAAGGGTTGAAATCAAAGAGAAATCAGAGTATATGCAATAAGGAGCAGCACTTAACAAAGAATGAAATGAGACAGAAGCACTTTGGTTCTGCTAAACATGACCGATAAAGGTCACGTAGCCAACACATTCCAGTTCTTCACAGCAAGTCAGACTCGTTCAAAGCATCTTCCTATATACTTAACTGCTTTAAAATACTAACTGAGCAGTTCACAGCATTTTACAAGTGCCATCGCCCCTTCCAAAATACCCTGACAGACATCAAATTGATAATATGGAGGAGGCGAAGAGAAATCTGAACCTGTTCATCTTTAATTCTCACTGTCTCTGACTTAGTGCCATTCCTGAGATAAAACAAACTTTTCAACCTTTTAATTGCAGTTGGTAATTTTGGGATCATTTCCCCCTAGAAGCACTGTTCACCTTCCACAATTACTTACCTTGGTCATGATATTACACATTTACAATTCATGCAGCCTGGGCCACTTTCATCTGGAGGGTTCAATTTGCGTAGTTTGTGCTGCCGGATTTCCCGCACTAAAGTATAGAAGGCATCTTCAACTCCCTGCAAGATAAGAAGATGATTGAATCTAGAACACATATATAAAGAAAGTCCAGAGGGCAATTTGAAAGAGTTGTTAAGACTTTACTCTCAGTATGCAAATATAACTAAACATAAACCAGTCTCCTACTGGCTATTTACATGTGCATACATGAAGCTGCATTAAATCCTGGCAGCAAACTTGCAATAATTAAGAAGTTGGGGGGTGTGCATTCCTTGTTGTGAAATGGACTTAGATCCAGGAACGTGACTGATATTTCATTAATTCATTAATTGCCAACGGGATTTTAACCATACGATAGCAATAAGGAAATATTATTTTTCAGTGGGAATGATAAGCCCTCAGAAAAACAGGTATTTGATTCAAAAGATCTGCAAGACACACACAGACTACCTTCTCACTGGTATAGATATGAGCTCAGCCAAGACCTCGTCCAACAAGTGACTGTGGTTATGGCTGCCTGCCTGCCATGGCAATAATCGAGGACTGACCAAGCCATGGACGAACTGGCCATAGGTGCTGGCACGTCTGCAGACAAAGTGGCTCTTCAAACAGCACTGTAAGAGTTCCCAGAGCACTACCACTTGCATCACTTCCAGCTGAAATCTTCTTCTCCCTTCATATACCGCTCTAAGACTGGCGCCAGTTGTTCAGCCAGGCAACTTGCCACCTTTATCCACATTAACACTTTAAAAGATCCATTTCAACTCAAGCCTGTTGTAATCCACAGTGGTGTTTTCCAGTGCTTGGGAGCCATCAGCAGAAACTACACAATCTGCTGTGCAATTAGCAGCTAGAGAACTGGTAGCTTGACAATAAATGCCTGTGGTTTGCTCCAGTGGGAGCCATGGGCCAGCTTCACTGCAGTCAGTCAAGAAAGAGGGGTCACTTACCTGTAACCATGGTTCTTTGAGTGGTCCTCTATGAATCCACACAAATGGGTTATTCTGCGCTCGCACGGGACCTCTCAGAAGTTTCTAGAGCTTAAAGACATGTGATTAGTAGGACGTTCCCCTGTGGAGCGCATGCTCTGCCTGCCTGAAGTCCCCTCAGTTCCCAAAAATTCCACCGCTGTCAGGAGAATAGATAAGGATGACAATGTGACGGACAGAGGGGAGGATGGGTGAGATGTGCGGATTCACAGAGGACCACTAGAAGAACCATGGTTACAAGTAAGTAACCCCTCTTTCTTCTTCGTGGTCTCTGTGAATATACATGAATGGGTGACTAGCAAGCTCACTTACCGGTTGGTGGGATGTCATGTTAAAAAGGAGGTAAGAAGCTTGCTTCATTCTTCACTCTGACATCCAGCTGATAGTGAGTCACAAATGTCGAGGGAGTAGACCAGGTAGCTTCTCGACAGATGTTGGAGACATCTATACTGCGAAGAAAAGCGGTGGAGGTAGAGACAGCCCTGGTGGAGTGGAATTTTAACAGTTTCTGGTGGCGACTTTCCCAACAGTTCATAGGACAAGGTGATTGCCTGAACTATCCACCTTGATAACGTTTGTGAGGAAGCAGGAGAACCTTTGCGAGGACCATGATAACAGATGAACAGACAAGGAGATTTTCTAAAAGATTTAGTCCTATCAACATAAAAAGCGAGAGAGCGTCTGACATCTAGAGTGTGGAGCATGCAGTCTAGATCTGATGTTGGAGATGGAAAAAAGAGAAGGGAGAACCAAAGGTTGTTTGAGATGGAATTCCGACACGACTTCAGGAAGAAAAGAGACATCTGGATATATCTGGTAACCTTGTCCTGGTGAAACTGGAGATATGGTGCATCAGCTCTGGGAGCTGCTAACTCGCCAGCTCGCCTGGCCGATGTGATGGCAACGAGAAACAAAGTCTTGAGGGAAAGAATTTTGAAATTGGAAGTGGCTAATGGTTTGAAAGGAAGACAAGTAAGAGCATTTCAGACCATCTGGAGAGACCATTACGGAAGTGGTGGTCGCTGACGAGGACGAATGTTTTGGAGGCCTTTAAGAAATTTCTTCAAAGTAGGGTGAGATAAAAGCTGAACAGCATCAGAATCCAATGGTTGATGTGCTACAATAGCCAAAACCAACCTTCCACCTTCAAGGTGGAATGTGATAGGCCAAAATGAAAAAGATGGAGAAGGAATGTAAGGAGAGTCTTGAGGGAGAAAGATGCTGTCAAGAGTCCCTTGGAAGCAGTGAAAGTGGACAACGTCCTCCATTTATAGTGGTAGAGAAGCTGACTAGAAGGCTTTCTAGCTTTGTCTAGAATAGCTGCCATGGACGGTAAATCCTCCATGCGGTAAGATTGAGGGACTCCAGGTCTGGGCGGTACATCCTGCCATTGTCCTGAGTTAGCAGGTGTGGGAGGCAAGGAAGGTGAAAGAGATCTGTCAACATCATTCACAGGTGGGTGAACCAGGGTTGGCGAGGCCACCAGGGGCCTATGGGAATGGTATTGGAGTGAAACTGATGGAGTCTGACCACTGTGTCCTTTGAATGAGAGGAATGGAATGAAAGAGGTATAGAAGACTGGTTCCCCAGTCAGCCATGAAGGTGTCTCCTAGGGAGTTCACAACCTTCCCTGCTCTGGAACAGTATTGGATGCATTTGGCATTTTCCTGCGTGGCAAAGACATCAAGAGTAGGAGCATCCCAGCGTTGGGAGATCCGGGCAAAAACAGTGTCGTCCAAGACCATTTGTGAGTTTGAGTAGTGAGGCAACTGAGGTAGTCCACTATGAAGTTGTCGTGAGTGGCAACGTGGACCGCAACAGGAAAAACAAGGTAGGTGTAACACCACTCCTAGAGGTGGATCGTGAGGTACAGGAGAGAGAGGGAGTGCATGCCTCCCTGCCTGTTTACATTAGTATAGTGTGGTCATATTGCCCGTGGCCAACTGAATAGCCCGACCGACGATAAGAGGATGGAAGGCACAAAAGGCCTTGATCATGGCAAGCAGCTCGAGATGGCCGATACATAAGGTTTGTTCTCTTTTTGTCCACAGGGCATGGATTCTGTGGCCTTCAGAATGAGCGACCCATCCCGTGGGGCTGGTGTCGGTGGTGACTTGAATTGTGAGCTGGAGAGGAGCGAATGGATGGCTGACTGTGAGATGTGGGAGGAAGGTCCACCAGGTAAGTTGGTGAGCTAATTCCTTGGAAACTGTCAACAGTTTGGAGGGGAGGTCGTTCATTGGGTCTAACAGGGAAAGGTGCCAGGCTTGAAGGGATCACATTTTGAGCCTGGCATGTTGGATAACTGATGGAGCTGAGGCCATGAGACCAAGACACTGCTGAGCTCAATGTGCTGAGACGGGCGATGTGCTGAGGAGACAAAAAGGCCTTATTGCAGATCTTAGTTTGGTTATTCGCTCCTGGGGCAGAAAGGCCCTAGCCCGAGATGAGTTGAGGCAGGCCCTGATAAAGTCCACAGTTTGAGAGGGCTGTAGTCGAGATTTGGTGATGTTGACCTTGAGCCTGAGGTCCGCTAGCATGGAGAGAGTGAAACGAGTGTCTCTTAAGGCACCTTGGTAAGAGTTCAATACAATTAGCCAATCGATATAGGGAAAAACAGTTATGCTGTGTAGGCGGAGATGTGCAGCAACTAGTGCAAGGCAGTTCATGAAAGTCTGTGGAGCTGTGGAAGGGCCGAACGGAAGAGAACAGAACTGGTGGGCGGTGTCTTCAAAGCAGAAGCAGAGGTATCTGTGGTGGTATGGATGGATGGAAATATGAAAATAAGTATTCTGGAGTCCTATCACAACAAACCTGAGAAAGGACAGGGATGATGATATTGAGTGTAACCATCCTGAAGTGTCTGGGCTGGATGTATCTGTTGACGTGTCTGATATTGAGGATGGGACGGAGACCTCTATCTCACTTTGAAATGTAAAATAACGGGAGTAGAAACCATTGTGAAGATTATGGTTCGGAACTCTGAGAATGGCTTGTTCCTGAATGAGAAGGAAAATTTCATCTTGAAGAGCCTGTGAGTTCTTTAAATTCAATAAGACAGTCGTGGTGAATGATAGACAGTACCAAATGGTCATTTGTGATGCGAGACCAAGATTGGAGGAAAGGGTGAAGATGGGTTTGGAAGGAAGGATGAAGGCTGACCTTGGGCTGAAGAGAGTCAAAGATATTGTTTGCCCTTTTTCTGAGGACGACGAAAGGGCTTATGATGCTGAGCCTGGAGCTGAGGTCGAAAGGTGGAGGTTGTGGAAGTGGAGGGTCCTGAAAAAGTTCTTTCTGGGAGTTGAGTTTTGCATGGACTGTACTGTTGTTGTTAATATGGCTGCTGGAAGGGGAAGGGTCGACACCATGGGGGGCGTTGATATCGATAGGGTTGCTGGGTAGAATAGGACCTGGCTGTCTTTCTGATTTTGTGTAGGTTGGCCATTACCTCATCAGTCTTTTCACTGAATAGACCGGCTCCATCAAAGCAGAGGTCTTCTATACGAGATGTGGTGTCGTCCGTGACAACCGCTGAATGAAGCCAGGCATGCTGTCTAAGCGTGACTGCAATAGCCACAGCCTTGGAGGCAGCATCTGTGGTGTGATGAGCAGCTATTCGTTGTTGTTTTGCCAGGGTGGATGCCTCTAGGTGGACATGAAGAGTTTCAGCCCTGGAGTCTTCTGGAGCGGCCTGTAATATTGGGAGGACCTTGTTCCAGAGCTGCATGTGGTAAGCACCCACAGCAGCCTGGCAGTTGGCAACTCTCATGATGAAATATGTTAATGACACTGACCCAGAACCTCTAACTTTCTACCTTCTCTATTTGTTGGAGCCACTGACAATTTATTGCGAGCCTGGGATTGATTTGATTCCACGATTGAATTGGGTATCAGATGTTTTGCAAGAAAAGATGTATCTGAACCATGAATGTTATAATGGTTCTCCACTCCTCTCAATATTTGAAGGGAGGATGGTGGTTTATCCCAAGATTATTTTACCAAATCAAGCATAGCTGGTATGAAAGTCAAACTGACCAGTGGGTTTTTTTCCTGGTTGATGTCATCAAATACTAGGTCCTGTTTTGGAGGCAGAAGCGTTAACACGTACCACTTAAATGGTCCGGGGGGGCATAAAAGCAGCTGGAAGAGAGGGAAAGGGGAGGAAATTGGGGGGAGGGAGAAAACAAAAGTAAAAAAGAAAGCAAAGAAAGCCACGGGGAGAAAATTTAGAACCGAAAAGAATTCACGGGGAAACATCAAACAAATGAGGTGAAGAAACCCGAGAAGGCACGAAGAAATCATAACGACTGTGATCAAAACTTGCTCTAGTCGTTGAGATAGGTCTGACCTAAGCGGCGGCTAAAAGGAACTGAGGGCATTTCAGGCGGGCAGAGCATGCGCTCCACGGGGGAATGTCCTACTAATCACGTCTTTCAGCTCTAAACTTCTGAGAGGTCCTGCACAGGCACAGAATAACCCATTCACGTGCATTCACAGAGATCACGAAGAAGAGCCATTCTGCACAATGAGAAACCTTCACAGCCATCCTTTTACACAAGGCAGGAAGGTCAGCAGACTGCTGGAGAAGTGGGGACACAGACAAACATCCTCCTCCAAGAACAGTAGTACAATTTCTCTCAGCCTTGGCATAGACAGAAGCCAATGAAGCATCTACCCTTGAGGATTACATTTTTTAAAAACTGGGACACGAACTAGGCTCAGACCATCAGTATCAGATATAGGGAGGAAAGAATTCTCCTCTGATCAACCTGCACAAAGATTCAGAAACTTTTGACAGAAATAAACTCAATTTTCATACAAGACAACCTGGGGACGTTTTCAATGCATTCCTATGGGAAATGCAGATTTGACCTGAGAACTTTTTGACTTGAGAACCGCCTTCCAATACGGATTAAGTTCTCAAGTCAAGACCCCACTGTACTAATCACGTCTTTAAGCTCTATACTTCTGAGAGGTCCTGCACAGGCACAGAATAACCCATTCACGTGCATTCACAGAGATCACGAAGAAGAGCCATTCTGCACAATGAGAAACCTTCACAGCCATCCTTTTACACAAGGCAGGAAGGTCAGCAGACTGCTGGAGAAGTGGGGACACAGACAAACATCCTCCTCCAAGAACAGTAGTACAATTTCTCTCAGCCTTGCATAGACAGAAGCCAATGAAGCATCTACCCTTGAGGACTACATTTTTAAAAAACTGGGACACCAACTAGGCTCAGACCATCAGTATCAGATATAGGGAGGAAAGAATTCTCCTCTGATCAACCTGCACAAAGATTCAGAAACTTTTGACAGAAATAAACTCAATTTTCATACAAGACAACCTGGGGACAACACACGGTACCTAGATTTCTTTGGAATATGGACCAAACTTTTCCTCTCAGTTCTGAAACTGAGGTAGTACAATCGAGAAGAATCTTCTGTTCATGTTGGCCCTTGTAGCGAACAGCACATACCTGTCTAGTTTTGGCTGATGTTTCAATGTAAGGAATCCCATAGCTCCGTGCCAGCTCCTGGGCTTGCCGTGTTTCCACAGTCCGGGCCGGAAGGTCACATTTATTCCCCACCAACACCATGGGGACATCGTCAGAGTCCTTCACTCTCTTGATCTGCTCCCTGCAGAGGAGAAATCAGAAGTCGAGCAAATCAATGGAAATCAACATCTCCTGTTTAAATATCCTTATTTTTTTTATCTTATTCTGACCAGAACAGAGCTTCAAAATAATGCAGGAAGAAAATTATGTTAATTCATTGTGGGGGCTTGGAAAGATCAAGGAAAATAATGTAGCAGCTTGATTTTAATTTAACAAATCTTAAATTATTCATCTTTTTGGCATAATAGCCAACAGGTTTTGACTATTTTGTTATTCTTCTACCCTTATTCCTAATCAGCGAGCAGAGAGAAAAAAAACTGCTATTTAAAACCATGGAAGGTTTTGCAAAGAATAAAAGCTTTCATGTGCAGACTGACACAGCTCTGCATAGAACAAATATTCTGCTAACGCTACACATGTGGATCTAAGAGGATGAGAAGCAGAAGAATGTTCCTGAATCATTCTCTGTTTGACAGCGGTTGCCGCCTTCCTCAAACTGGTGTCCTCCAGTTGTTCCCTGCTTGTTGCTCATTCTAGATAAGACTGACAGGACCTGCACTCTAGTAAATCAGGTTGGGAATGATGATTTATTAGGTAAGCTCAGGAACAATCCATGCCACAGCCCTCCTGCCAAAGAAACCCAAACACTCTATTTCTAGTAAACAATGCAAGACATTACCAAGGCCACAGCAGCCCCAATAAACTTTTTCCTATAGTGTCTCCTTCATAGCAAGAATCGCATTCTACCAATATTTGCTCAGTGTTAAAAGCTGCTGCTGCAAAATAAGTCTTGCATGAATTAATCCAATATAGGTTTTTCTTTTTAAAGAACATGATGTTTGGACAAATAGTGGAGTGATCAAAGGGTTAGGACTCATGAAAAAAAAAAGCATTGTTGGAAAGAAAGGAACACTCGTGTATAACATACCCCACCCCTAAAGAGTGTGAGCATCATCCATCCATCCCTGCCAGCAGAACAAAACTAAAAAGACAGCACACAAAAAAGAAACAAGGTACCGCTTCAGAAGAAACCAAAAGTAAAGGAGCCAGGAAAAACTAGCCCAGGCATAAATTGAAAGGATTACAATATCCCATCCCAAGGTTTTGAGCGGAATACACATTTTCACATTTTATTTTGCAAATCCAAGAAAGAGGACTTTTAGACTGGACTTGATTATCCGCAGGGTCCCTTCCAGCTCTGCAGTTCCAAAATGATGATTAGAGATGGCTTATCATGTTAGTCTGTCTACACTGGTTACAAAGGCAACCGATTGCATCTTAAAGGCAACCGACTGTACTACTGCCATGATCTCACAGACTAGAGTTCAATCATTAGATGAAAGTGAAGGAGGACTCAACCTGGAATCTCCACATCAATTCCCAGAAACCCCAGCCAGTGTGGTGAACATGGATAGTGAAACTTGTAGTCCAGCAACATCTGGGAACCTGAAGATGAGAACCACTGAAGAAGACCAAAGGAAGGGAGCCTGTGGACCTCTATATTCTCAGAGTACTAGTGTTGATCAATCCCAACCAGCACAGTTATTGGTCATAGATAACTGGAACTGTAGTTCAATTTCCAAAGTAGAATCAGTACTTTGAAAATCTACACCTTTTGTTAGTTATTACAGATTCATTCATATTTAAAGGTCACAAGAATCCTTGTAGATTTTCAGAACTAGGAATTCTCAACTAAAATGTAACATCCACCTTCATTCCATACTTGCCCTCCACACTTGCCACCACAGAACATGCGCATGTGTGTGTGAAGAACTGGGCAGGTACACCGTATGTAGTTTACTAGCAAAGCACATGATTCACATGCTTAAGATCCATGGCACAGTTCATGCCTCCTCCAGCTATAAATATCTCAGACCTGACAGCCAAATCCATACCTAAATCCTGGAGCGCAGCTGCCAATTGGAATAAACATTTTATGGAACCACAAGTATGGCAGCTCCTTCCACTGTTGTACACTATAGTACAAAGAATAGCTACCACCAAACCAATAAGAGTGTTGAAAAGTGATGATTTTACTCTGGGAAAATCTTTCCCTTTTAGTTTTGAATCCAAAGCTCCCAATCAAATCCAATTTGAGGCAGCTCACCAATTCATAAGAGGGAATCAGTAAAAATCCAATTCCTGCTGTATGCTGAGCAGTGTAACATGCATAAACTCTTTGAGAGAGAGTGCTTGCATATCTTTTTTTATTTTCTTCAGAGCTTTCTTTGCTTCCCGAAAGGGTATTTACTAGACATAGATGTCCCTGCTTTTCAAGATTGTAATAGGCACCATCTACATCTTGTCACACTTGTCTTCACAACTATAAGGCCTAGGAACATCATACTTATTTCCAATAAAGAGACATCAAACCAAGATTCCAAAATTCTCTTAATCCCATATTCAGCATCACATTCTGTGTTGCTTTCTGTATTCCTACAGCATCTGGAGAGCCCTTTCCTGTGGGTAAGACATTTCTCTATTTGTGGATGCTGTGAAGGATTTCTCTTTTTCTTGGTCTGTGGACAGTCTGCTCTGACACAGTTTGACAATTCCTGCTGCAGTGAGACAAACAAGGCCTAGCTATGCTTAGCGAGAAGAGCTTGGCTCAGGGTATGAGAGCAAACCCTTTGTCAACCATCAACTACAGCCAGGCTCACTGCCATATCCCCCCAAGCCATTGGGCGGCTGCCCAGGCACAGGAGGTTTCCTTGCATCTCCCAGGGAAGAGCCAAGCCTCTGATATACAGAGGACTGCTCAGCTCCCTGCTTCAAAAGAAGATGTAAACACTGAAGATACTGGCCCTAAAGATACTTGGTTGCCCTTCCAAGTCAGAAGCTCATGCCACTGGCACACAACAAAGAATACAAGTGGCAACATGTTAACTAGCAGCAATTTGGCATTTCAGTTTAGACCATGGCACTTACACCAACGTGTGTTATAAAGCTGGTTCTAAGTTTTCAGATGGCAGAACATCTCTCCACAGATGCATTATAAGAACTTTGCACATTACGACAGAAATCAACTTAAACCCAACTTTGCTAAGATTCGAACAGGTGTCTTTCATTCAAGAAATAAGCATGCATCTCAAAAAAAAAAAAAAAAAAACCTCAGGTTACCTGGAAGGATACCCAAGTAGACCACTGCTTTGCTCCCAAATACCTAGGTGTTACTTTGCATCAGATACTTACCACAAATCAAAAGGTCTTGACAAGGAAGAATATTCTACCTATGTTAAGCTCACAAGCAGGATGTTGGGGCAACCGAGCCTTTCTGCTTGTGCTCTACGATGGGCTCTACAGAGGTACTCTACCTCTGATACTGGAGGTGCTACACACGCCTCCTGACTAACAGCCCCACCCTCCATTGACAACCCCATTCCTTTCCAAGCTGTCCAGACTGGCTGCCATCTCTGCAATGTGGCAGTGAATTCCATTCTAAATACGTGCAGTATGAAGAAAGCTTCCTTTTACCTGCCCGGCATTTGTCAGTGGTCTGTTTCAGTGGGTGACCCCAGGTCTGAGGATCACAAGCGAGAGGAAAATGTTGCTCATCCATTTTCTGCACCCCATGCACCACTGTATACACCTGTCATGTTTCCCCTTCTACCTTTTCCCCTAAGCTTAACAATCCGTCATGATTTCACTGTTCCATCACGGATGAACTGTTACCTTCTTCTATTTTCACTATCCTTTTCTGCATTTTTCCAGGTCAAAGATCTCTTTCAGATTTCAGGTATCTGTTTAGTGGCGAGAACTGCACTCCGCATTCTGAATGAGGTCACACAACAAATTTTCATAAAGTCCGGACAGTGTTGGTCATTTTATTTTCCATTCTTTTCTAAATGGTCCCTTCTCATACCAGCTGCACACTTGGCAGCCATGACCCTTTCTTCCAGAATTTCCCTTTACAAAGGAAGGTGACATGCACGATCTCTTCCTTGGCCATTACTTCCGTGTTACTTTTACGAACCTATATTGATGGATGTCTTCAAAGGACTTCGTGTTGTTAATGGCGAACACACAAAGGAAGCCTTCTCCCGTCCGCATGTACTGGTCTCGCATGGCACTGTACTCCTCTTGGCCTGCCGTGTCTAGGATGTCTAACAAACATGTCTCTCCATCAATGACAACTTGCTTTCGGTAGGAATCCTGTGAAGTCAAAAGGAAAAGGTGGAATTAAGAGTCATTAGAAGGAAAGTAAACAAGCAGACAGGCGGTCATCTGTTCATGGCTAGTTTGGCTAGTTTGCCTCAGTGGCTGGACAACCGACCCTAACTCTTTGGCCCTCCCTTTTTTACTTCCCATTTCCACACATGCCAAGTCTCTGTCCCTTCTTGTAATTGCCTTCATCCCTTTCTTACAGGTTCACATGTCAGACTCTGCATCTGCAAACTACCAATCCATGCCTTCACCATTCATAGCCTGAAGTCCTCATCCATACCTCCCCTTCTTCTGTCTGATGCATAATTGTCCACCACCAACACTCCCCTTTCCACTTTTCCATTCTTGTGCTATGCTGCTCCTGGGACGTGAAACAGTCTCTTATTCTTTGTTAAGCTGCTCTCATTTCCTCCACCAGATCCCTCTCCAAGACTTTTTCCTTGATAAACTCTGAACGGCCATCTCTCCTTTCTTGCACTCCACATTCCTCTTTATGTTATCCAGTCAATTCATCCTCAAGCACGTGTATGCATGCCCTCTAACTACAGTAAGGCCCTCTGGATGCATCTGCACAATGTAGGATGGACGCCTAATGCAATTTGAGGGTCCTATATAAGTGTGAAGCCATCACAGCTCTGCTTTCTACATAACAACTGGAATTCTAAGGTGCTACAGAAGATGACACCTCCAGTCACCTAACATATTCCATTACCTGTCATAATCAGTAGGATCAGCTTTAAAGAGTATCACACAGTAAGTGGTTCTTCCTAACGTTTCGCCAGTCTCTGTGGCCGGCATCTTCACTTTTCAATGTATATGTCAGTGGACCATTGCATTCAGCAATATATCTGTGGCCAGAGGACTGTCTACGTGTGCTTTCTATCGAAGCAGACCACAATGTCCCCCACCAGCAGGTGTTGCCAACTTAGGAAACATTTCAGACTGAGTAGATTCTGAAGTAGGGACACTGCCTGACCCAAACTGGTCTCTGAAAACTATTAGCGGAGGTTACACTTCTGGTGCCAGGTGAGTAATGAAAACAGCCTAGGCCCTGTTCTTGGAACTGACTGTGTTGTCTCCTGCAGACAAGGTATGTCTTTGATACAAGAGCCACCCACCCTTGACACACCTATTTTCTTAACTTTATTTAGGGTATAGCAATCCTTTTAAAAGCAGCTTTGCTCACAGGACCACAGTCATCTTCTGTGGACATGCTGCATACAGCCAGTAAGTAAACAGAACACAGGCAAGCACCGGGTGGAGTCAGTGTCTAGCATAAGTGCCTCCTGTATGTCTGTCCATAATACTCATCATCAAGTCCAAATTATATCCAGAAACACCCAGCAGGTCTATTTTCCTAGTGTCAGCACTGCTGGGCTATACAGTCTAACTCCAAGGCCTTCCTTCAATTCCCAAAGGCAAAAAGATCTGTTTCATCTTCAGTGCTGGGATACCCCTAAAACCCCTACAATCTCTTTCATCAAAATCATTTCTGAGCTAAGCTGTTTCAAGATAATTTTAAAATGTAAAATGACAGTGTAAGGCTTTCAGATGCTTTCACACAAAGACAAGCATGGGATTTATACTTTGTCACCTTCAGAAACTGAGGAGTCCTAGCCAGTTTGCTGCTCCAAATATATCTGAAGTATTTAATTACTATTGGTTTAAATGCTTTTAGCAACATGACTTCCACGTTCTTTTGAAGCTCTTACTGTCTGTTTAGATTCAATCTATATACGAGTGTTTGTTCATGTCTGTTCTCTTCATTTGAACAAGGTGTGAATTTTTGAATAAAAACAGTTACCTATGGTAACATTCTTGACTCCATGAACCATGTTGGTAATTTTTCCATTGGCAGTACCTTTTCTAATCTGAAGAATATATATGTAGCTCAAGTTTAGTGGGTTTTTGTTTGTTTGTTTGTTTCAGCTTGTACCCAATTTATTTTTCAGAGAACGATCGTCCTGCTTTTCCTCCCTTTTCACCAGTCCCCCTCACTGTTGAGAAATTTCCTCTTCAGAAGTACACTTTAATGGACTTCTCTACAATGGTCCACTGACATATACATTGAAAAGCATCATTCTCTTAGAGAGCCACATGTCCACCAGTGGGAGCTGCATGATTCTTTCTCTCTCTTTCTCTCTCTGCTAACTGGAAGGAAGGCAAACATTACACTGAGGGATTTATAAAGCATCTGGAAAAGCTAGCTGCTCATTCAAGTGCTAGCATAGTCCTTTCCCTTGTGCAGAAGGAGAATCTCACAGAATCTCTTGCATGCCAGAAGAATCCTATTATCATTTTTGCCCTCGCAGGCACAACCAAATCTCCCCCCCACCCCCGTGCGCTGGGAAGCATGGAAAAGGCGGAAAGGGTTGTCAGGGTGGTACGTCTGAGGACATAATGAGGGAGGAGCTTAGGGCAGCTTCTCTCTTCTGTCAGCCCACTAGACCAAATAAATTCTCCACCCTTGAGCTGAATAGTGAAACAGCTAGGTCTAAAAACAGCCGGGTCCAGATACGCCTCACTGTAAAGCTCTTAGCAACTAATTCCCAAAGGGTAGGAGACCGAACAAAAACTGAACAGCCCCAGAACGCTGAACAATTGCTTGGCTAGGTGCCAGCCACTTTGACAATAACTGTCATCTTACTCTTCCATGAGAGAAAGGCACTTACATACTCCCATCAATAATGTAGCACCAGCAGCAGCCACTGCCGCCACCAACTCTCCAATGGCTGAGAAACAGTCTCTTCGGATGCTCAAGCACTACATCCGGTCTTCGTGTACAGATGAAACTTGCTTCTTCTCTGTGGCTCAGTGGAGCAGAAAAGCCCAGCAAGGTCAGTTTCATTTTACTCAAAAAACAGGGAGAAAAATTCTTAGAAAGATGCACTTCTCTGACCTGATGCCAAGGTCAAAAAAAAAAAAAGCGCCAAGATTCAAAAAAGTAGTCTGGCCAGCACCGATTGGAAGGCCAAAGGTAAATCCACATTTAGGAACAAACATTTGATAGTTATTCTGTGACTGGAAAAAAGAAATGGTAAACACTCTCTAATTTGTTTTAAACTTTACTGTTTAAAACAAATTAAAAAAAAGGTTCCTGAATTCTTTAGTAGTGCCTGAAATATGAATTGTCCAATACACAATGTAACCATTTGCAAATATGCCTAGTTCCAAGATCACCACTTTATAGGCAATTGCCTCCTTCTCTCTAACATTCTTTTAGAAAATTGTTGATGTTTTACCAGTGTTTCCTGTTGAGTATTCATGGTTTATTTATTGATTGATTGATTGCATTTATATCTTGCCTATGTAGTCAACAACACTCTAGGTCATTGAGTGAGGATTTGAACCCAGGTCTCCTGAGTCCCAGCCTTTCCCTCTATCCTAGTACAACACTGGCTTACTCTTGAAAGATATCAAAAGGTCATAAATCACAGGATTTAGCAGATTGGCCTTGCAAAGCAGTTGGATACAGATGGAAACCTTTAGCTAAACAACAGGCATTCTGGCAAACCTAGACAGAAGCAAGGTGACGGACAAGCCAGCTGTAGCATGCAATAGCTTATCCAACAGAGAAAGGATGCTAGACAACAATGCCTGCTATCCCCAATCACAGTCTGTGTTGACTGGGCATGCACTGTTGTCCAGCATCATCTGTGGACCCAAAGTGGGAAAACACTGCTACAGAGTTGCATCTACATGTTTCCAGTTCTCCAGCTCAGTAGACAAGAGGCAAATGCATTGAGGAATCAAAGACCTTACTTCACAACTATTGTGGCATCAATTTTAATCAAAGCACACCCTTCTCTATATTCTTTCCTGTTGTTCTTGTGTGTCTGAGCATCCCAGTTTGCTTCTCCAAGGTAGTAAATTTTACAGTTAATGTGTGTCTGAGCATCCCAGTTTACTTCTCCAAGGTAGTAAATTTTACAGTTAAGAGGCGCAGTTAACCCTTCTCAAAACAAACAAATAAAACGTTATTGGAATATTTTATAAAGGCGTGACAAAGAGAGAGAGAGTAGGAGCAAAACTCAAAATGGATCCAAACAGGGTCTGAGAGCTCTTCACCTGCCTTATCTTGAACTGCACCTCTGGCCAAGTCTGAAATACCCCCAAATTGGATAACTGGCTTAATACCCTTAATGCTCTTTCCCACCCTACACCTCCCTCCCCAAGGTAAGAGGTCACGTATAGCTCTGCCAGATGATGCTGGAGAACAATTCCTGTCATGCCCATTCAACACAGGCACACCTGCTTTCTTCCTTCTACCCTGCAGCAAATTCTTCTGTGTAGAAAGCACATCACTGCAAAAGACGCTGAAACTCTATGTTCTTGTTCTGAAGAGCAGCCCATTATTCATTCTGAATGGCAACACTGTAGATCAAGAAAGGCTTAAATCACCAGCAATATTCTGCATGGATATAACCCTCCCTCCCACACAGACATGAGACAGCAGTTTATTTGCGCCAAAATGAGTTTAAAAACTGTGAATGCACATTCCTTGGGGTGGGGTGGAGGCACACAGTGCAGTCCAAGGATGCACATGCAGCTGGGAGCATGACCCACTGAACACAAAAGGGACTTATTTAGGATAAAGCATGTGTATTCCTGGGGGACACAGCTGTAACTCTCTGCACACTTACTTGGGAGGAAGCCAAACAGAACAAAATAGGCTTGGCTTCTGCAGGCATGTGCATAAGATGAGACTGGAAAACAGTCACCAAACTGGCAGAAAGATCACCATTTTTAATTTAAGCCTTTAGATAATACAAACCACCAGCTGCCTCTTCTTGGAGGTTTAAGCATGACCAATTGAAAATCAAAAGCCATGAGATGTTCACTGGACTTTGCCAGCACCACCATGCAGAAATGGACTGTTCAGCATCAGAGACAGGATGTGTTAAGTTTCTTACAGCCACAGTCACGTATTAACAACCACCTCACACACATTTTATAAATAAAAAAACTAGACAAACAACTGCTTGGGGGTCAGAGAGGCTCACATTCTAGTATCAGACACACATATCTCTCCTTGGTTATCCCATGTGAAGAGAATGTTATTAGTTATTTATTTATGTAAAATATTTTTCTCTGAGCTGTTTACATGGAGGACATCCATTAAAATCTCTCTCCAGAAATGTTTAAGTTTCAGAAGGATACTAGCTTGTAACTAAAGTACAAATCAGAGGGGAGCTGACTTAATTTCTTAGCTCCCAATCCAGTAACTTATGAAGTCACAAAGAATCAGGGAGATGACAAAAAGCTAGTGAGGTGCAGTGGTTAGAGTGACTGGAAATCCTTGTTCTAGTTCCCACTAAGCTATGAAACTGATACAGTGGTGCCCCGCTTGACAACGATAATCTGTTCCACGAAAATCATTCTTAAGTGAAATCGTCGTCAAGCGGGGGGAAAAATTCTTAAGTGAAATCGTTGTCAAGCGGGGAAAAAGCCCATTGGAATGCATTGAAAACCGGTTAATCCATTCCAATGGGGAAATACCTCATCATCCAGCGAAGATCGCCCATAGAGAACTGCCAATCAGCTGTTTAAAATCGCTGTCTTCCAAAGCAGGGGTCCAGAAAACAGCCATTTTGCAAAGAGAGGGAAGCCATTTTACGAAGGTAAGCCATTTTGCGGAGCCGGAAAAAATCATTGTATTGAGAACAAATGGTTCGCGGAGCAGGCACCTAATCGACATCAAGTGAAAAAAACCCATAGGAACCATCGTTTTGCAATCGCAATAGCAATCGCAAAAAACTCATCATAAAGTGATTTTGACATCTAACGGGGTCGTCGTCAAGCGGGGCACCACTGTAAAATGATTTTGTGTCTGCTACTCTTCCTTGGCCTGACCTATTACATACAGTTGCTGTGGGTATGAAATGGGGATGAGATAAGCTGTGTGTGCCACCTTAGACTACCTGAAGGATAGTTACAGTATAAAGGTAGCTAAAAAACCAAACAGATTTATCAACCACTGCCGAGTTCAAGGTAAGTCTGAAGATTTTCTACCAGTCATTTTCGTCCAAGTAGAAACTGTTTTCAAACTGACTTTGGGTTCCACTCTGGTGTATATCTCCTACTATAACGTTTTCGCCATTGGACGATCTGTCACCATGCAAGTAAGGGAATTACTTGTCCCACCTCCCGTCTATAAATAATTTCTGAAATATGATGAAGAAGAGCTGCTTCAGAGGGGGCTGCTCCCTCCACTGTCAGCAAGTTGATAAATCTATTTTGGATTTTAGTTTGAATTTTACAGGAGCTGTATAAAGTACTGAAATGTATTCTTCAAATACTGTAGGTTCAGCATCCTGGATAGTTCCTTCAAAGTTCATACTAAAACCCTGAATGAATGTGATGCCCCACTGACATCAGAGTCACCATCTTCCGCTGAGCTGCTTAATTTCATATCTGACCTCTTGGAGGAAGTCCATGAAGAATGGCAATGGAGGAAATAAGAGGAGAAAGCCAAAACGTTTAAGTGTGACTTTCTGAAAATAAGCAGGCTGTGCTCACCTCTATCGTAGGATCATATTCATCCACAAAATGGTTCTGGATAAGCTGAATGGTCAAAGCACTTTTCCCAACGCCTCCTGCTCCAACCACCACCAGCTTGTACTCTGTCATCTTCTGGCCAACTGCAGCTCAGCAACTCTCACAGAACAGCTACCTGCAACAAAAAAGAGAGAGAGAAAGGTACAAAACCCCACAATGAATGAACCGTCTTCTTCCTTCCTGGTTCCACCAGTTTGCCCTTCATATTACTTGACACCACCAAACAGTCACAGCATCCCAACATGCTGAGACAAGTGCCACTGAGACAGAGCAGGAGCAACTATGGCAAAGCCGCCCGGAAGACAGAAGTGCGAGTACAAATATTCAGACCCTTTTCCTCATACAGGACCTCGGATAGTTAAACAGATTCTTTTCATTATATGGACAGCCCTCTACTGAGAAACCTGAAAGGGGATTAGAGAGCTCTTAAGGCACTGTCTAAGAACAATATAGAGCAGGCAGAGTTAAGGACTCAGAGGAAGCAAGGAATGGATGCCATGCATTATTCAGAACCAGTTAATCAGTGTTGTTTGGTAGTTTTATGTTAAAATTTATTGCCAATATGATGCTGCAGAGTTTGGACAGAATTCAAAACCCACCCATTCCATCTCACATGGCAAATACAAAGATGATAGATCAGATAACTGCTGCACACATGGAAAGACCAAATTACCTGGTAACACTGAAAAGCTTGTTCTGCACTTCCACAGCCACGATGACAAAGCTAACTCTTTCTCTCAACAAATCCAGGAAATTCCATGCTGGAATTCATGTCAGTATTGTTGAATAGACTTCCTAAGACATTTTAAATGTTTTTTAAAAACAAGATGTTCACTTTAAATCACAAACTGTGGTGCAGCTCACATGCTTTGCTGTACATGCTACCTGCCCTGGCCACTTCTTGCAGGCAATACGATATTAGAAGCCAGCAAATCACAGACACACGAAAAGCAATTCCTACAATCACAATGACTGAAAAGTGATGTCATGATTTTAAAAAAAAGTTTGCTGGTGTTTAATCATACAGTGAATGAGTCGCTGCAAGCATGTGTCTGGGAACAATTCTGATTGTTCCTGAGTAGAACATAATAAATTGTCTCTATTTGACCTTATGTAGAAAAGCTTGTGTTTCTCAAATTCTGTTTAGTACATTTGAAAGAAACCACAGTCTGCACTCTGAGCTTCATGCTGTGTGAATGAGTTGTCCGGGGGAAGAAGAAAATAATTAACATGCAATCAAAAGGCACAAATGTAGAGAAGACATGGGGGAAAACAGATTAGGGGCATTACAGTCACAAACATTGGCACCCCAGCAGCAGAACTGAGAAATCCCAGTAGATCTTTGGCTTCCATCTGCTCAATAAAAACAGCAGCAAACACACACACACAAACACACACACATACTTGTTGCCCTTCAAATGTTACTTGTCTCCAATTTCTACCATGTCTGGTAGCCTGACGAGCAGGAAAAAATAGTCAGTACCAGGAAATGTTATGTGTTAAGAGTGACTTATATAATTCATCACAACAGCCAAACACCCCAAAATCAGATAGCTGATTAAATTGCTTGTTACTTTTTTGTTGCTGGGACAGCAGAGAAAAAGGATTAACCAGAGGATGGCATGGCGTGTGAAAAATTCTGATCAAACCGCTTCTTTAAAAATTAACAAAAATAATGGAGACGCCATTATACCCTTTTCCCCATAGTAATGACCACACTACTAGTTCCATTATACTTCCAAGGAGACGACATTGCGCCTTTGTTACATTAAGACATACTGAGTGACAGCCAACAACCCTGTTGGAAGCTCTGGGGAAAGCAGAAGAAAGAGTTCATAAAGTAACAGAGGAACCAGAGGTTTTCTCAGTCTTCCACTAATGAAAAACCACGGACTGCAGTCCTATGTATTTTCTGGCCCACCTTATAAAACAACAAAGTTATCCTGACGAAGAAAGATGACAAGCTTGTTCTGGCTGGTAAAAGAGTTCTAACAAGGGACTGCTGTTTGGCTTTCTTTGGTGAGCTTAATGCTTCACGAGACCTACCGTACAGCTCACATTCAGTCTTCTACAAGAATTTCCAACACGGGTGAAGGGAAGGATGAGGAAATCCCAGGTGGATCCAACAGGCTAGGTAAGGCTGCTGGAGAGCTAGTATTGTGCAATGGAGAGACCACTGGATCAGGACAGAAAGAGTCCCATGTTCAAATCTCCACTGTGAATCCCCCCCATGAATTTCACTGGTGATCTTGGATCAAAGGTATTTCAGCTATGAACTACCTCGTAAGGTGGTTGTGAGCATAAAATGCCACCTTGTACCTACTGGAACAAAGATAGTTCAGACATAACTAACTAATGAATCCCCATGGGACAGGAGGAGCAGAAAACTGCGGTCAAAATCTGTTCTGATGCTTCTCTCCTTTGGGCCCCAGGAGACTGCAGATATTATTCATTTTGTTTTTCCTTCTTTACTTTCAATGTATTTACGGGGGCTTCAACTCTTTCCTATTTTCTCTCTGGGGGAAAAAAAGAGCACAATAGGGGACTCAGAAGCCCTGGCACAAGGGACCTGGTAGAGATTAAAACTGAACCTGATTATTCAACATCATCTTATCTGAGTGTCTCCGACTGCCAAAGGTGAACAGAAGGGCCTAGAACCGATGATATGAAACCATCCAGCTGCAAAACCTATGGCCAGAATACTTTATTTCTCCCTCACTGATTAGAACTGCTCATGGGCACCCTGGAGGAGACATTCACATTTTCTTATTTGCAAAGGCATAGCAAAAAAGAGAGAGAGAGAGAGAGAGTGGGAAAATGAATAAACGAAACAGAGATTACAACAAACAAGGCCTTGCAGATCCTGGCAAGGAGCAAAAGAACAGGAGATCACACTGAGTTCCCATTACGGACTTTGATCCTAAGAACCTTCTATTAAACTGGGTTCAGTGTCAGTTTAATTTTTCTCTTGTTTCATGACTTCCCTCTTTTTGCATTAGGAAACACAATGCCTGCCACGGTATCATGACTGAAGCACCCTCCTATTTGTTTTCTTTTCTTTTTATTCTATTCAGTTCTATTAGTTAGATGTAATGGGCATGATGGCATGGTGAATCTGTTCCCATCTGCAGGACCACATCCGGGCAGTGACGGAGAGGGATTTCTCCTCATACTCACTGTGTTTTGGGTTATAGGGTCCTGCAGGTTTTTGTCTTACAAGGTCTTGCAATATATTTTGACTTCAGTGTTTGACAAAGTGCCCCATGATATTCTGCTTAGCAAGCTAAATAGGTGTGGGCTGGATAGAACAACTGTCAGGTGGATACACAGTTGGCTACAGCAGTGGGCCCAACCTTTTTAACCCTGCAGACTGGTTGGGGAAGGCGGACCACCCCCACACTCATATGCATGCGTGAATGGTGGGGCCGCGCTCGGGGGGCTTGTGCACATGTGCAAAGGGGTGGGAGAGTGCTCGTGTGGGCACATGGGCATGCACACATGTGCAAAGGGGCTGTGTCTCCACAGCCCGGTCCAGCTCAAGCCGGACCACCCCCACACTCACATGCATGTGTGAATGGTGGGGACGCGCTCGGGGGGCTTGTGCACATGTGCAAAAGGGTGGGGGAGTGCTCGTGTAGGCACATACGCATGCACACATGCGCAAAGGGGCTGTGCGGGGGGAATGCGTGTCTCCACAGCCCGGTCCAGCTCAAGCCATGGACCGGCACCGGGCCACGGACCAGGAGTTGGGGACCTCAGGGCTACAGAATGATACTTTGAGGGTGATGATTAATGGCTCCTTCTCAAACTGGGAGGAGGTAACAAGGGGGGGGGCTGAAAGATTCAGTCCTAGGTCCGGTGCTATTAAATACTTCTATTAATGACCTAGGTGAGAGGATACAGAGAATGCTAATCAAATTTGGGGATGACAAAAAATTGGGTGGAATACTGTGCCTTCCCGAAAATAAGACATGGTCTTATATTAATCTTTGCACCAAAAAATGCATTAGGGCTTATTTTCAGAGGATGTTTTATTTTTCCATGTACAACAGTCTACATGTATTCAAATACAGTCATGTCATCTTCTTCTGGCTGCTGCACAATGGTGGAGGGCGGGGTTTCATTTAACTGGGCCTTATTTGGGGGTAGGGCTTATATTATGAGCATCCTGAAAAATCATACTAGGCCTTATTTTCAGGTTAGGTCTTATTTTCAGAGAAGCAGGGTATCTAACACTCTGGAAGACAGAAACAAAATTCA